CAGAAGGGATGAGAATTTGAGCTGAGTAGGCACTAGAGGAGAATGCAATAGGATGCAAGTGTCAGTATTGGCTACAATGAATACAGAGAATCCTCAAATCACCTCTTAAAAGTTCATTCAGCTAAATCAGAACATAACAATAAAGAAAACATTTGGAAAACAAGGATATTTAGTAGCTGCATTCCAATGTAAAGTACACTCTTAGACATACATTTACCAACTTGCCTGCTGTTACATATACTCTCTAAAAAGCTATAAATTTTTATGATATGTCCTGGTCTACCAGAAAAGAATTACTGTATTGTGACAAATGAAAATATGAATCAATTCATCCAGTAGGACTGCAGTTCAGATTCAAACCATTTTCACATAAAACCAGCCTGCTGAAATATGAATTTGGAATCATGTGATCAAGCAGACACGATGATTCACTGGATACATACATTACAGAAAGTGAGGAAGTGGATTCTTTTCCACAGTTCATAGGTTTCACATACCATAAGATCCTGATGCCATATATTCTCGTCAGGACATACACAGTTTTCTTCACTATCAAAAGCAATACCAGACTGCTATACTGCAGAATAGACAGTTCACTCACCCACTGGCATGTGAAAGTATCCTAAGTTACATTGACACCCTACAGATTTGTTGATTTAATTAAGGTGTTGATGACTCTGTCACTTAAATTCTTTCCATTTTGAACAGTGTTAAGCTTTTTCTCCATCTTTATTGCTTGATGTTTTCCTGGGTATAGAAAAAAAGACTACAGTACTAATATGGAAACCCAGACAAAGCTGTAAGTGCTGTGCAGGTGTGTTGTGTTACCTTTTAAGGAGCAAACTACCAGTAAGATGGGAGAGCAATGCCCATGCGGTATCTCTTTATTTTCTGGTAGCTAATGATCATAAAAGATATCTGTAAATATCTGAAAAGCAGGGCAATATGTTCATTATAATAAAGTAATAAATTGTTTTCAACCGATCAGTCAATAATGATTTCATACTCATATTATTAAAGTAAGCATAAAGTTAGAGGGATTTAATATAACTGAAAGCTCTGGGTTATAGTTGTGGTCAGTCAATATTCTCCTGCTCAGTTTTGGATGTTAATGATGTTCAAAACTCAGATCAATAATTGCTAGCAAAAATTTTAACAGCATTTTGCACAAGTAGCCCCCTAAAGCACATCTAAAACAAAGTAAAACCATATAAGTTAATATCATTGGAATCATCTACATACATATGTCACAGAATCATAAGGTCTGTGTTGGAATCAAGGTCTGTGTTGGAAGGGACATTAAAGGCCAGAATCCCAACCTTCCCACCATGATCATTTGCAAATTATTATTATTATGACCCTGTGTTTGCATTCTAGATCTTTCCTGGAAAAAAGCGTATATCTTTCAGTAACTGTTCTTGATGTTGCTAAAATGAATGGGCAAAGATAGACAAGTGGTACAGTGATATGATACCTGACACAATATTACAAAACTGATGACCATACTCTCAGTCTGATTTCAAAATTATTTTGGAGGTTTTTCAGTGGTTTTGTTGTTATTGCATGGTTTGGATATTATTTTATATATATATACATATATATCACACACTGCTTTGCTATTCTGAAATTAATACACAGTTTTTAAACCTACACACTTTTGTACAATAATTCAAAGTAATGGGGACCAAATTTTTCCACTGATCATCCAAACCATCACTAGTTAAGTGAATTATTTTGTGACAGCGTACTGTAAATGTGACTCCGTGCTTTCTCCTAAAAATGATTGAGATGACTTTGAAGTTTGGAAAAAAATTGAGAAGTGTCATCAGTCAACTTTCTGATTCTTGTGATTTCTACATTAAAGATAGCAATATATTCTATTCTAAGTATTTAAAATTCTCCAAAGCTAAGCATAAGCTAAGAATACTATTCTGCACACTGCTTACATACATGCTTTGTAATATTGCTGGACATATTCCCTATTTATCCTGAAATTATCTATTTTATCATCTACTGTGGGTGTGAAATAAAATGATATTAATTTGTGTGCAGGCGTTAAGTTTGGAAAAGGGAAGTAAGGACAAATTGTGATTCCAAACGAGCAAGGTGATTCTGTGCTCTGTTATTTCTTTCAAGTTAAAGAGGTGCTTTTGGAGAACCAAACCAATAATTAAAATATTTTTAGTATTTATTAACAAATGCTAAATAAACAAGCATTATCTAAGTATTCAAAATTTGAATGCACAGCAGGTTATACAAAACACTCTCTACCTCTAAATTTCAAGTGCTTATGTTAAACATAACTATGAAATAAATAAATACAGTTAAAATGTTTAAAAATTCATATGCTGTAAAATATTTCATCTTCTTACATGGTTAAGTAATCTTTTTTAAAATCAGCCTACCTTGTTCACACTATTGTTACTGAACAGAAGGCTTGTGTTTTATCCTGATGATAACTATTTTAACACAAAGAAAACTCTCAGAAGTACAATGAAGTTTGCCATCACACAATTAAATTTAAAATGTGTGCTGTATTATTTTATGTAAAAGCAGTGTTTCTTTCTTCCTTAAACAGTGTATAGAATCTTCTGTTATATGTTGCAGAAAGGGAAAGAATATCACAGATCACAGAGAGATTAGATCAGTGTCAGAATAGGGCATGTTTGAGTACTGGCTTCTGTTTTGGTGTGGATGACTTAGTGGTTGACAGCAGAAGTAACAGATGGGAAAAACAATTGGGTCAGAAAAACGACAAGACAAAAACCAAGCACTGCAAAGTAATAACAGCATCATTAGAAAAACATAAATAGAAATGAGACATATTTTACTTCATCTATTACTTTAAATAATGCCCATTACTAATATATTGATCCTTGAATTCTGCTACAATATCCTCATCTTCTAAAAAATACAGTCCCAAAGAAGTATTGAATTACAATTAGATACTAGAACATGGATTTACATGGAAGTTACAAGGCACACGAGAGCCTCCAGAGTTTCATTAGGCTAGCCTGTTTAGCATGAGCTGCTATTGTCCTCCAAATTAAGATGACGACATTCAATTTCAAAGTTTCAGAAGATTTAAGGACCTGCAAAAAGCATTTTGTCCATTTACTGTATTTAGTAGCTGCAAAATACAGAGAGCACAAGGAAAAAGCTTTGCAACCTACACTAGGGAACCTGCTTTAGCAGGGGGTTGGACTAGATGATCTCCAGAGGTCTCTTCTAACCTCCACAATTCTGTAACTCTGTATGTGAAAAAGTGGGACCATTTTTCTAAAGCCTGCCCCGTGTGCCTACGAATACTTGGTAATTCTTCCAGACCACTGAGATCTTCCATGTTGATTGGTCAGCTTAGGTTGCATGCACAGCATACAGGAAGTTCAGTTGATCAAAACTTTACTCAAGAGATGTTACAGATATAAATCACAACAAATTTTGTGCATCTGAGTACCAAACTCACTGCCTACTGGGAGATAATGAACATCTCTCTTAAAATAGTTAAAATAGTTTGATAATTTGCTTTGGCTGCAGTTGCTAGCAATACTAAGAAATGTTTATTTGATTAGTTAACAGCTAATGAACACGATGAGCACTCCTAACCAGCTCATGGTTGGCTCCTAATTTTAACTGTTCCTCCCCATAATGACCATACACCTAGACAGAGTAGGAGGAAAACCAATCAAACAGGATGATGATACAACTTTGTAATCACAAATGTCCATAAAAAGTCACCTTTCTTTATAAGTATAGATTTAAAGCTTGCAATTCCTCAAATTTAACAAATCTCTCATTTCTGTGATCTAATCTCAGTTTTCATCACCTTTTTATATAACTTATGTTAAATCATAAAATTAGGTTTTTGAACAATGTATCATGGGTACACTCACAAAATCTCAAGGTAATTCACCCAATTACTTCAGAAAAGAAAACTTAGTTCAGATGCTATTTAAAATTAAAATTTTCTTTTTGGTTCATCATACTGTGAACATTCTTTAAAAGAAGGACTTACGGTCCTTGAGATGATATAAATTATATGACCGAGAAAAACACGACACCACTCCACACAATCACCATATTTGGCCTTCCCTTTAGATGTCTGTGTGTAGCCTCAATGTGAAGAAAAGCGAGGAAATAGAGACTAATGGCCAGTGAATTAATAACAGCTAACACAGGTGATGCGATTATACACTTTTTTCTTATGTAATAAAAGAATTAGGCTAGTTTGTCACTTAACTCTCTCTCAGGAACCTTTAGTATGGTATTCTTTTCTTTTCTACCCTCCCTTTGTTTTCATCTTCAAAGCACTTCACAACCTACCTCTATAAGCACCTACAATATCAAGACAACATTCTCCGCGTGTGACAGAAATTTCACCTTTCATTATTTGCAAAACAAACTTCTAACAAAGCGACTTGGGTGTTCTCTTTCTTAACAAACGTTATACTAGAAAGACACATGAAAGACACATCTGGGTTTTGGAACATTCTGTTTTATTGATACGAGGCTGTTTCTTTAACCCAGATATTCTTTTTTGTGTAGTGCACAAAATAAAATGTAGTGAAAGTATAAAGAGACTTAGGCAAAAAACACAGGTGACTACTTTTGTAAGGCATCCCACTAAGGATGCGATTCATTTGTGAATAAATTGTAATCACATACAATTACAGATGAGCAGAATGAAAAGCTAAAGTGACTGTACCAATGTGTCATTAAAATATACCAAGCTTTCACAATCTAGTTCACAAATACACTACGAAGACGGAATAAATCTCATATAGAACATAGCAGTCAGCCTTATTTTTCCCTCTATCAAAGTTATTTAAATATGGCTCCTTAGAACATTTTATCCCACCTTCCTGGATATATTTTTGCCATTTCAAATACCAAACACTTAGCAATCATATATATATGTTTTGTTATTACTAAAAATGAATGATTTTTTTAATAGTTACAAGAATGAGCACATTTTGAAAACAATTGGCACTTACCTTCACTTCTTGAGCTCTCCTGATTCTTTTCCTGCTGCAATTAAAAGAAAAAATGTATTATTTTAAGTTACAGTTAGCACGTAAATCAAAGACACACAAGTTCAAAAGAACTCAGTCTAGTTCATCCTCCTTCCTGTTCAGCTGTACTGCAGAAAGATTATTCTACTGCCTGCTTTTAAAATCCCCTGATATGTTTCACAATGACAGTGATTGAGCACCAGAACACACTACCCAGAGAGATCACGCAGTCTCTGTTACACTACATCTATCTTTGGAGACATTCAGAATTCACCTGGCTAAGACCCTTTCCAATGTGATGTTGCTCTGAAGTTAGATCTGCCTTCTGGTCAATCAACTGGTTGAACTAGCTGGGTGTCTAGGTGACCATATGCCTAGATGATTCCATGAGCTAAGGAGGGGCTGTCCAGAACCCCAGAAGCAGAGTTTAACTGTTATCAGAATTATAAAGTTTCACCCCAACTGACAAAATGGCTGCAGGACACTGACAAGAGAAATGTTTGCCAGCCTGGGAAATGCAGTCCTGGCAGCTCAGCCTTCATCCTATGGAGTCAGCAAGGGAACCAAGGACATCCCTGAAGTGCATATGGACACCAGAGGGTCAGAGATGTTCTGAAGATACTACTGGTGAAAATGAAACAAGCATCATAGGAAAAACTTATGACCTCAGAAGGTGAAAAATAGCCTGGGAAGGCCTGAAAAAGTGAGTATTGATGTGAGAAAGTTTAGTTTAAAGAAAAGAAAATAAGAGACAATCATCTATTGGATGTCTTAAGAGGAAGACCAAAACTAACTGCAGCTATTGGTTTCCTGAAGTGATCATAGAATCATTGAGGTTGGAAAAGAACTCTAAGATCATCCAGTCCAGTCATCCACCTACCACCAATATTGTCCACTAACCACATTCCTCAGCATCACATCCACGCAATTCTTGAACACCTCCAGAGACAGTGACTTCACCACCTCCCTTGGTAGCCTGTTTCAATGCATGACCACTCTTTTAGAGAATTTCTTCCTAACATCCAACTTGTATCTTCCCTAGCACAACTTGAGGCTGTTCCTTCTCATCCCTTCTCTGTTATCTAAGAAAAGAGACCAACACTAGCTTCGCCACAACCTCCTTTCAAGGAGTTTCAGAGAGCTTGTTGTAGAGATACAGAGGTATCCTATACCCTTTAATGTCTCAGTGCTACAAAAAGGGTCTGATTTCGATCCAAACTGGAGATTTCCTCTCTGAGAAATTTCCTGTGCTGCATGTGCTCATTTCTATTATTATTTTTTTCTCCACAAACAGATGGAATTTTCACTGGAACACTGGGTTAACTCCGTGATATTGCAACATCAGCTCTGCAATGCTCCACAGACTGGCTGCCGTATCATCTTTGAAGTGAGGCTTTGTCCTTTACTTTGAGGCCTTTCTCAATCTATCTCTAGAAGTTCCTCTGAAATCAGTTTTAGACTCTGCGAGATCAGTCCCTCTGTGATCAGTTTTCTTAGTAGGATTTCTTTGAGTCCACTTTGGCCTAGACCCCCCTTCTGCAATTGGTTTGATACATTTGGTACAGCTGATTTTATGAATATTCATAAATGCACATAATACGTACAATATAGATACGTATACCCTATTGTAACTGTACCTCCTGTAAGTTTGGAACCTGCAGTATACATCTATGTTCACTGCTGTAGCATTTTGATAGGTTGGTTGAACCTTTAACTCTATACTAGTTGCTGTATTACTTATTTTACTATGTCTAATTGCCTTCCTACTGATCCTAATTGCTGCTACTCCTAATTAGTAGTATTTGCCAGATATACATGCTTCTGGGTTATATTTATGAATAACAAGTTACTATATACACAGTTACTTTATTAATCACAATATACAACGATGGTGGTTTGTGGTGATAAATTGAGATCTTTTGAGATAAAGTTCCCATGCCTTTGTGCATTACAAAATCTTATGAACTTAGTTATGAACTTTATATAGCTGGGGGCTGGGTAATCTGCCCTGTTGGATCATGCCAAAAATAAACAAGCTTTGCTGCACGTTCAGTATTAAAAATACTGAACTAGTTGTATTCAATGACTGTAATGCAATAGAAAGTGCAGCAATGACAGCAGCGTAACAAAGTCCTAGGCTGCAGAAAGTGAAAACTTCTTCAAATGCAACAGCTATAGGCGCAAAAACAAAGGAAAGAAACTACTCACTTTCAGAAGACCTCATATGTACGCAGGCAACTCCAGTGAAATATCCTCACCTCCACTGCCAACCCTTAAATGAGATCTGGGAAAGGGTGAATCCTGGCTCCACCCCTTCCAGTCACACAGCTACATTCCACACACCTGAGCTCTCCTGGGTTGGCTCTGCCTTCCCACCAGGTTCTCTACCACTGGTTCAAGCACTGACTTAGCATTTCTGTTACAACAGTACAAGAAAAAGCAATGTGAACTTAAGGCAGCAATCTATCCCCAAAATTTTACACAATAATTGCTCAAGAAGATGTTCTCTATATTGTATACTGCAAAACACTCTTCAAATACTTTCTTCTTTATAAATTTGTACCAGGAAAATGGTGTTGGGAATATGCTAAACGTTTTGGTTTTGTTTTTCAATTATGGGATACATTTATTTTAATTATTTTGACAGAACAAGGAGACATTTATTTTTGCTATTACTGCAATTTCTAAGTAGTATCTTTAATATTATATAAACTATTGGTAACAAAGTGAATGTAGTGATTACTATCCAGGCCTAATTGCCCTATTTTATTTAATCTATAAGCTCCAAAGATCTATCATTAGGGTGAAGTATCAGCTTTACTGTGCCTTAAACATGCTGAGATTATACGTATGAAACTACGGAAAGGCCTTCAGACACTCTCACTTAATTTGATTTATTAGCTTCAGTTCTAATATCGTATTATAGTGTGTTATCTTGTATTCGATATCTTATTTAGTAAATTAGTTTGTTTCTCCTCAGATTGTTGCCGCTGTTTTGCTTTTAGCCCCGTATCTCTACCTTTTTCCCCTTTTTTCCCTTATCCCTTTCCCTGGGCGTGGGTCCCCTCACCCCACTTGTCATGGAACTGGTCTGAAACCAACCCACAGACCACTGACATTCTTGGTGGAGAATGAGGGCATAGGCCGCTTTTCGACCTTTAAAATGCATCTTTCTCTGCTCTCAGAGAGCTCCATTAGAAAGTTTATCTCTACTCCAGGGTCCCATAATTGGAAACACTACCTTGAAAGTTCAGGTGTACTGCCAATATTGTGGGATATTTGTAAACTTCTGTATGCTGCTATCTCGCTATTGTAAAAAGAAAAAAAAAAAAAAGCTTTTTCTTGTAAAACTGCTCTTCAAGGGAATGCATTCTATCACTTTTTCTCAGAACATACCAAGACTTAGTTAAGTTTGCCACTCTGTTCTATAGAGCTAGAAGTACATATAATTCAACTGAAAACACTGACAGAAATACTTACCTGGTATCTGCATACAATGTGGCATACAACTCCAGAGGGAGTTGCTAATTCTACAGAACTTGTGGTTTTTAAACAGTCTCCCAGTCTCTCCTTTGAATCATTTATGCGGTTTTTTAATGCTCATCCGATAACCATGATGCCAGTCTTCACTGGTATCTTCATTTATCATATTTTGAGGAAGCCTTCCTCAAAGCCAGAGAATACTGAGTGGCAGGGAGTGTGGAAGCACTTGGAGAGACTTTATGGAGATGGACATCCCCGGTGTCATGGAACTTGAACACCTGCAAAATCCTGGGAGCCTAAGCAGATATTTGAGACCGATGTTGCAGCTCAGGCAGATCTGAGGACGCACAAATGATTTAGGGCCTGACTTATGCTTACTGGCCCTCATTCAGTAATCTCCCAGAGAGTGAGAGAGTCTCTGAAATTGAGAAACAGAGTCTCCAAACCAAAAGAGAGAGCCTCCAGGAGAGAGTCCTGACTGAGACTGAGAGAAAGAATCTTCAATTCCAGAAAGTATTCTCGCTGAGAAACAGAACCTCCAAACTGAGCGAGAGAGTCTCTGAGCTGAGGACAGTCTCCAATCATAGAGTGAATCTCCAATCCGAGAACCAGAATCTCCAATCTGAACAAGATACCCTACAAAATGAATGAGATGCCTTCCATCCGAGCATGACGCCTTCCAAACTGAACAAGACACCCTCCAAACAGAACAAGTCCAACTTCAATGTCAACGAGACCTCCTCTTAAGCGAACAAGTCAGACTCTGAGCTGAATAGGAGATTAAGAGCATCGAAACTGACCAACCTGGCCAATCACAGGAGGCACTGTAATCAATTTCAGTTGCTCCTATAAGAGGATGAAAAATGAAATGAATGTCACCTTATTTAGCACAGAAGAGGAGGAGGAGAAAGTAGACAAAGAAGGTCCAGTGGAACAGTAAGACTGTCGCGTATTGCCTTGTGGCGTTACCTTCATGACTAGGGATATGAAGAAATGACATAAAAAACCCACTGCTGCACTTCAAGCATGTGTAAAAGAATTACAAGACAGATCAACTACCAAGGTGAACTTCTTCAAAATGGTGACTGCTCCAGTTGTTGTGGGACACGGCAAAAGCTATAAGAATAGAGATAACAAATAGAGGAGCTCTGCCTCCAGCCAGGAGGGGGGAGACCGTTGACACAGCATTAAACTGAACAGTAAAGGAATCTAATTTCCTGTTCTAAAACAATATGGCAATGCTCCTTTCAACCCAATCCTGCAAATCTACATCAATGCGTGTTTTTCTTTTTCTCATGTTGTTTTATAACAACAAAGTGGGTCAAAACCTGCACCTATCTGAAAAGCACATCTTCGAAACATTCCATGTCTACATGAAATGCATTGGTCAGATTTAAAGAAAAGAAAGAAAGAAAAGCACACATACTTCTGTTTTTATTGACTATAAAATGTGAGCTACCTGATTTTAAAGCTTTTTCACAAACACGTCTAATGTTTCCTGAATACAGTAAATGGTATTCCTTGATTACAGCC